TTCTTTCTTTCTTTCTTTCTTTCTTTCTTTCTTTCTTTCTTTCTTTCTTTCTTTCTTTCTTTCTTTTCTTCTTTCTTTCCTTTCAGATAGGGTTTCTCTACATATCCTTGGCTATCCTGGAAATTACTCTGTGGACCAGGCTGACCCAAACTCAGAGATTCGCCTGCCTCTGCCTCCCTGGCGCTGGGATTAAAGGTGTGTGCCACCACAGCCAGCAACGGTGACTGAGAATGTTCACCAGAACCCGAGTCCCCCTGGGACCCCTAGGCTCACTGCTACCAAAAGAATTTGGCTTAGTCTGTATTCTGTGACTTGTGAGGACTTTCGAGGTCCTGGGTTTCAGAAGCTGTAGTCCTGAGCATGGTACTGTGCACTTATAATCCCCAAATATGGGAGACTCAGGCAGGAGGATGCAAAGTTCAAGGCTACCCTGGGAAACAGAGAAACCCTGTCTCAAAAAAGCTAGCTGGCTAATTTTGCTGTGATGTTTATTTCCAAGTTTCTTTTTAAGTTTTGATTTGAAAAGGTTAATGTGATTAAATTCAAAACATTTTAAAATTTCTTCACTGAAGGCCTTTAGAACTTAAAACCTCTCAAAGTAGATCAAGACTCGGAGCCAAGGCTGAAGGAGTGTGGGTGTGGGGAACAGGCGAGCTTCAGGTTAGCGACCCACACTGGAGGCCCTTGGAAAGCTTCATTCATGTGTATTGGTCCCTCCCCACCATCTTTCTGCCTTTCCCTTAGGCCTGCTCTATCTGAGAAGAAGGTGGCTGACCTCAGCACTCTGAACGAAGTGGGCTATCAGATCCGGATCTAGCCAGGCCAGGCCGGCAAGGTGTCTATGGTGCTCTTTTCTGCTTTCTCCAGCAGCTTCAGGAGGAGCTGCAAGTATTCCTGAAGAACTTGTGCAGTGTCCATTTTGAAGGCTTTGCCTGGAGATAGAGTCCGAGTGGGTGGAAGCAGTGAGCTTTGACAAACTCACCAGGCAGCAGGCATGACTGATGTGATGGACAAACCCTGGGTTGACTGTCTGCCTCACTCAGGAGCTCAAGGACAACGTTCACTGTAGTTTCTATTTTTCCATTTGCTGACTGTTCACTTGCTCCGGACTCTGTGCCTCAGCTGTAGTAAACGTTATGGAGTTCTTTCCTGCTTTTTGGTACAGTAGGTCACTCAGTCAGTATTCCCGTCTTCTCAGCAATAACAGGCAGCAGTGGGTGGGTTTAAGCAGTGGATATTACCTCAACATTTTGGCATCAGATATGCAATCTTAATGGGTTTTTATATTCTATTTGTATTGTTTTCCTAGTGTTTCCTATAGGGATTTTGATGGTTTGGAGGTTTTTTTGTTGTTGTTTTTCTGGTACACACATGAGATTTAAGGTGTTATATATGCAAATGCTTTAGGAAAAAAAAGCACCATAATTCCGGCAATAAGGAAAAGTTTCAGGAAGTTGGAGTCAATTTTCTTAAAGCATCTGCTGGGTGTTATTCTTTAAACAAGCGTGTTATGTACGAAACTCTAGTCCATGATCCGTCACTAACATTTAAGCCTTTTCTGAGTCCAGCAAAAAGCACAAGAGGCCGCACCCTGAAGAAAATGCAGCAGTGTCGAGGTTTCCTCAGACAAGAAGGCAGACGGTAGGGGTCACCCTCCTGCTCACGTTTGATAGCCTTGGTTCTGAATGGCTCTGTTGTTAGTGTCTTGCTGTCTTACATTAAGGCAACTGTGATGACGGACTCTTCCCAGTAGTTGGTTTTTTAGGCACCACTTCATGGCATGAGGAAAACCTAGGGGAAACCATGACCTCAAGGAGGCCTTAAAGGAAAAGTTCCAGTGCAGTGCTGTGCCTCAGTGTGACCCAGGCCCTGAAGCAGAGTCAGCCTGCCTGTGGCCAGTGCAGTGCAGTTTCTGCTTGCAGACAGGAAGGAAGCATGCAGACGGCTACTGATCCGGAGCATCTACAGATGCCACAGATCTGCAGCCGTCGTGCCAGCGCAGGAAACCGGGTGACCGACTCCAGCTGACTGGCTAGTCCTGAGAGCTAAGCATGTTCCCTCTGGTTGTGACTTGGGGGTTCTAAGAAGTTAACCATCTGCTCACTGAGTCCACACCAGGAAAAGCCAGGGCCACATGGAAGGCAAAAGTCATGTACACAAAACCCGCTCCACCCGAAAGCCAGCATTAGTAACTGAAAAGCTGTGTTCTTGGTGAAGTTTAGTGTCCTTTAGAGATCAGGACCAGAAAATTCAAACTCCGTGTAAGCTTCAAATTCTGAACTCAGTCGCTCTCTTCGAGAGTCCTGTTAGCAGAGTTCAAGGTAGTTCTGGGGCTTGCCTATGCTGGAAGCTGCTCTACTTTCACATCCAGCATCAACAGCAGCACCCTCCCTCCAGGTGCTCGAAGGCCTCGAGGCCGTGTGCAGCCACCCCCTCAAATCCGCCCCAAGTCCTGGTAAGTGGACTGATCAGAACTTGGCTGGGCCAAGTGCCTGCAGCTGGCTGTATTCAAGGACAGCTGACACCAACAGCGCCAAGCAGTGCCAACCTTGAGCTAAGGCAGGGGAAAGAACAGCACCCAGCTGTGACACTGTCATCTAACCTTGTCCACGACTACTTTCTGATTTTTAGACTCATTTTCCAAAGCAAGGTTAGGCACAGAAACACTTAAACTGCTCTTCATCACTCAACGTTACTGCCCGTAGTTACACTAACTTCTAAAAACAGAAGGAAACCTGAAACACCAAAATCTAATGCAATTGTTTAACGAACACCATGGCAAAGATGAGCCCAGCAAGTTTTGCCTCTCCAGACTGGCCTCTCAGCCTGCCTGTGGTTGAGAAGAAAACTATGGCAAGTCTCACGATGACCACTGTTGACTGTGAAAGGTGACCCAGGTGTTTTCTATGCACGACGACCATGGGGTGTCCCTTTCCCTGAGTCAGAATTTTGAGGGTTTCCTTGGCAGACAGCGGTAAACCCAGGGAAGCCTCTGCGCCCTGCAGCTCACCGAATAAGGCTTTCGTATGCTAGACTTTGATGTACAACCTTGTACAGTTTTTTTGACATTCAATTCAGATTCTTGTTTATTCTCTTAGACTTTGTTCTGGTCAATACATTTTTTAAAAATATTTCAGAAAAACCGTGACTGTTTTAGTGGGTATTTTTCTAAGTACATGAAGACTTGGAGCATTCTACAGACTGCCAGAATTCTAGACTGCCAGGAGAGCATGCTTCAGGCTCGCATTTCTCTCATCACGTGTTCGTGCACAGCATGGAAGTGTAATAAAGCCATTCTGGAAACTGAAGGACTGAGGTGCTCTGCTGCTGATTTGTCCTAGTGAACGAACTTCATTCCTTTCAGACTCTGTCAGATATTACTCTACTTTAGTGTGTGTCAACGGAAAAAGGCAGAAAAGGTAATGCAATAGTGACAGGCCAGCCCCTACAGCTCAGCACACTTGATACAAGCCCAACACAAATGTGCAAAAATTACTTTATTACTGCTTACAGGCACACAGTCCAAAGGACTCGATGCTGTATAACTTAAGAAGAAAAGATTAAAAGCTAGCAGACTAAATCCTGAAAGACACATTTCCAGCACATCTATTGTCTTAATGGCAAAAGGGGCAGTAGAAACTATATTACTTTATAGTTCCCTCTGCATTTCAGACTTGGCCAGCAGGGGGCTGAGATGGCTCAATGAGAGGACCTGAGTGTGATCCCCAGGACCCACATGAGAAGACGTGAGGGAGGCAGACAGGTGGACCTGTGGGCCTTGCTGGCTTGCCAGCTTATTCTACTTTGGCATATTCTAGGCCAGCGAGACCCTTTCTTAAAATAAAAGATGGGTGGCTCCCGAGGAATAATACCAAGGCTCACCTCTGGCCTCTAGACACACATGTGCAAACACACGTACACTCCCAAGCACACACACACCAGGCACATGGGTAGCACACACTTTAGACCGAGATCAATATGACTTCTGCTGTCAGCCAGATCAACTTGTGCTTGGCAGATCAACACAAGCCCAGAGGAGTTGCCAGCTCTTCTATCAAGAACAGTAGAGAAAATAGATCATTTTATTGGAGCTTTAAAAGCTTGTGAGAAGTGTCCTGTGGCCACAATATTGATAAGCCAACAGCAATTTACACATTAACTGTATCAAAGTGCATACATGAAATGGGCCTCAATTCACAAAATATTCACCAGGATATAAAAACTTTACAGAGGTTTTCAGGAATGTTAGTTTGCCAGCAATGATGTTTATAGGGTTCACTCAAAAACTCCCCATATTAAATAGGGACACTTACCACTGAAATATGACAATTATGTCTTCTACCCAGGACCCTTTACACTCCACAAAGTACTATTAAAACTGGGCATCCTGGCACTACAGTTAACACTCTTCACAAAAGCCAAAGTGAGAGAGTTTGCTTACTGCAGTTTTCACTGGGCACACCTTTACCATCTGCATACCTTTTGAGGCAGTCATCCAGTAGGCGTAAAATAATTGCCATAAATGAGTTAAAACTGTAAACTGCAAAAACTTAACGTCTAAACTCTACTAATAAAACTCACGGTAGAAAACATTTGTGATTTACTGCACAGTAATGACTTAGTAAAAATGCCTGAAATCTGATTTACTACCTTAAAAAGCAGAGGAAATTTCTACTTACATTTAAAGTTCTTTTACCCCACTCTTGTGCAGGGCTGGCACGGCTTGGCGGCCGTGAGCTTCAGGGACAGGGCAGTGCCACGTTGCACCGCTGCACCACGGTACCAGGGCGCCCAGCACTGCAGCCAACAGTTCATTGGTGCAAAGAGCGTGGAGTGTGGGCTCCCAGGTCTAAGCCACACCTCTCTTGCCCTGGTTCTGTGTGTTGGAGGCAAACAGCAAATAGCTGTAGAGCTGCCACTTCCTTCCAAAGACCATTTTTCTAATTTATACAAAATTGGCTCAACAAAATGTCACTCCTGACCCAAGGGCTTTCTACTTGTCACTAAACAGGAAAGTGCAGGGGGGTAGAGGTATAACTTGGGGTCTGTTTCCTTTTTCTCTGTCTTTGAGACAGGGTCTTGCTGTGTAGCCCTGGCTAGCCTGGAATATACAGTGATCCTCCTGCCTCTGTCTCCCAGGTGCTGGAATTAATTGGAGCTCGTGGTCACACATGGCTCATCTGCTTTCCTTGGGGCAACCCCTGTCCAGCGCAGGAGTGGACTTACATAGAGGACATTGCCTCTTTTTTAAGAGCTGTTCTTCCTGCCTCCACATTCCAAGTACTAAGGTTATAGGTATGTGCCACCATGTGTGGCTAACAGCCTAGCTCTCTTTTCTCAACTCTTTCCTTAACAAAGTGTAGGTATACCCCATCACTCAGGATGGCAGGGAAGTGGGCCAAGTACTCTCTACAACTCAAGAGCATTTTCCAGCCTCTCCAGAAGCTACTGTGGGTGAACATTGCAGATGAGTGACCCAGAGACTTCTAAGAACCCGTCAGCTCTCAGCTAGCATAGGCTTCTCCTAGGGAAATCAGGCCTCCAGAAAAGGCAACAACCTGAGCTTTACAAGTCCTGGCAAAACCGCTAGATATATGGAAAAGCACTGAATTCCTATCTGCAGGACCAAGGAAGTGAAGCACATTTTAAAAATGCTGTCAACTTTACCAGGACTTAGAAGTCATTTATACCTCTTTACAATAAAGTGTTTAGACATCAGTTATCACAAAAATATTTCATTAAAAAACTGTTATAAACTTGTTTCTTCCGATCTGTTTCAAGCATATAAGAGAAATTCAGAACCTCACAGCACAAAACTGAACAGCATGCAAACCATTAATATCTTTCCAGCCTTTGAAAATACAGACAGTAACAGCTACTGTCAGAGCTCAAGCCTGAACTTGGCCAGTAAAGGCAGGTGATCTGAGGAGTTGTGTTCATTGGGAAGGCCATTCACAGTCCACAGGTCTTGTTCTGTAAGAAGTGACAGTCTAGCTAGAAGTTTCAAGCCACCAACCAAAGCAACTTCAGCTCCTAGTTAAAGAAGCATATAGTAAAACTGTCATTAAACAATGTTTTAAAACAGTGAAACAGAATCTGAAGCCCACCAGAAAACCAATATGAAAATTTTTAAGAGTACAAAGTTTGTGAAGTTATAACTAATAACCCTTAAACAGTAGCTTCATGTTATTTATGCCAGATATTTTTTTCTATCTCAATTTATACAAGATAAATGTAACATAAACTGTTAGCAATTTGAGACTGACAACCAGCCAAGAAGGGTCCACCAGCCCATTCTCACTGCACAGAGCTGAGCCTGGCAGGGGCTGGCAAGGGGACTGCAGGATAAAGTGGCACGGTTTAAGCAGGGTCATTCTCCACCCAGCAGGAAAACAGAGGTGCCAATCGCTGCCGCTCTCCTGCCACCTAGTGCCCTTGGCAGGCACAGCAACTTCCCGACCTCCTGACACACAGAGGAGGGCATGCCAGGTAGTTTGCTCAGTGACACAGCTGAGTCTCCTAAGGGAACTGAGAACTTTGTATCAGAAAAGGAGTTGAAAGGTGGGGAGTCTGCCCTGTTATAGGATTCCAGATATTTTCTGAGTATTTTTAGATTTTTCATCTATCTCAATGTTTCCTGTTTTCAATCCTTCGGTTGGCTTATGCAACCTGATTTCTTGAGCTGTAACAAGGAATGCACTGCCCACTTTTGTTTCTGAAAACAGTCCCAGAGAGCTCTCCTCTGGTTGGCACGCCCCACGTCTGCTGTGGGCAGCATGCACCTGGCCATGCTGCAAAGGCAGCATGACTTTCTAAGCTGCTCCATCCCAGAGCTGTGGTGACTTCATCCACGCAGCGGCTCCGTGGGAAGACAGGATTTATGGTGAAGAGCTGATGGTAGCCTAGGACCTAGATTCTGATTGGCACTGAAGGGCCAACTGAGGCTGTGATTCTTAAGACCCTGCTTGAAGCCCCTTGCTGCCCTGTTCTTTGCAGGCAGCCAAGACTTGCGCAGTTACATTAGCAATTTACCCATCCAACCTCTACCCAGAGCCCCGCCCTCGTGCTGAGTGCAGCCAGATCCCATCCTCTGGCAGGTGGGGGTCATGTGCTTCTTACCTCGGCCCCCAGCAGCACCGTCCTTTTCCGCAGAGTAGAAAATATAGTCCACAGTTATGGCACTCCGGGAGTGGCAGGTGGTCACCTCTGGAACTCCAGTGTCAGGAGAGTAATGTGAATACACAGACGACAAGCTGAAGTGGTGCTGCAGGTGCGAGGACACTCTGCAGAAGAGAAAAGGCCTTAGGACCCATCAGTTTGCACAGGAAAACATTTCTCCTCTTACATTTTTATGCCATTTCTAGTCAAAGATCAGGATACTTTTCACTGTTTAGTCTTTTGATTTTCTTTTTCAGACAATGTCTTTCATTAGCCCAGGCTGGAGTGGGCTGTCTAGCTTAGGCTGACCTCAACTTTGTGATAATACTTCTGTCTTAGTCTCCTGAGTACTGGTATATGTGTAAGCCATCATGCCTGGGTTTTTTTTTCTAATTTTTATTCTATTTTTATTAATTACAGCTTATTCACTTTGTGTCCTAGCTGTACCCTCCTCCCCCACCCCCTTCCAATCCCATCCTCCCTTCCTCTTCTTCTCCTATGCCCCTTTGCCTGGGTTTCTTGTTTTTGACAGTTTCATTATGTAGATCAGGCTAGCCTCAATATCACTATAAAGCCTAGCCTAGCCCCCTTTTCATGATTCCTCCTCAATCTCTTGAATGTTATGACCACAATATAAGCTAGCTAAGTTCCACTTAACTGAACCATATCCTAAGTGAGGGCTCCTTTTCATGCAGTGAATGTAAATGAATGGATCTGAAATCCAGCAGATGACAACAAATGGGGTAAAAGCTGAAGAATCAATATGCTAATCAGAACTCAAAATTATGTTTGAGAGGCTCCATTTAAATTAGCATATAATCCTAAACCAGCTTGCACTTCTTGGTTTTGTGTGTGTGTTGTTTTATTTTGAGGCAGGGTTTCTCTGTGTAGCCCAGGCTGTCCTGGAACTCAGTCTGTAGACCAGGCTGGCCTTGAACTTGGAGATCCGCCTGCCACAGCTTCCTTACTGCTGGGATTAAAGGCGTGCACCACCACTACCCAGCCTTGCTTGTTTTTAAGGGTGCTCTCAGTGGGCAATGGTGTGCAGGGCCATTCAGGACCCGCAGGACCTGTGCTGGCAAAGAAGCCTCAGGCCTGTCATGCTGGTGCTATCTGTCAGGACAGCTTCCCAGAGGCTCATGTCCACAATGCAAACGCATGCCACATTACAAAGGGGTTACTGTTTATTCTCTAACATGTCTAAATTTTAAGAGCCATTTATGCTATAAAGAAAAACTAAATTCTATACACCATTGTAAGTGCTGAGGGACAAGTAAAAACATGGCCCTTGGGGCTGGCGGGACACTCAGGAGTTAAGAGCACTGGCTGCACTTCCATGGGACCTCGGTTCAATTTTGAGCACGACACTGTTGCTCACAACTGTCTGTAACTCTGGTTCCAGGGGGCCCGGCACCCTCTCGTAGACACCCATGCAGGCAAAAAGCCAAGGCACATGAAACAAAAATGAGTTTAAAAAACAAAATGTAGCCCTTCATTTCCATAAGCTTCTAAGTCAAAAAGCATAGGTAACTCCTTAAAAATATCCTACTTTCCAACTTTTGGCACCTTTTTATGTCTAAGGACTTCTATTTGTAGCATCACTAAATGTAAAAGATGGTGCATGCCCATAATCCCACATAGCTTGAGCTGCACAGTAAGACACACAACCAAGTCTCCTTCAAGTTATCTTCATATCAGTGTTTCAGTTTATAGAAAACGCTGCCATGCCAAAGCATGAAACACTGATTTCCATGCTTTGGATCTGTGAATCCTCACAATCCACACAGGAAAATGAAAGTCCAGAGGTGTCCGATTCTCACAGCTAAAAGGCAGCAGTCACACCTGGAATCCCAGCAGCCTCTGCAGTGTGGAGCAGCATCAGCTTCACGCTGGACCAAGTGTTTTCTAAAAGGTAATTGTTTTTGCATCATTCAGTTAAAGTCAGGAGGTGTCGCCTGCTGCCATCCAGAACTCACTTTTCAGCTGGCTTGAGGACCTCTGCCTTCTCCAGCTGGGCTTGCGTCAGCTTGCTGTCTGAAAGAGCAGAGGGAAGCGTATCAACCAGCGTGTAACCGTGTGTGGTTCTGGCTTGCTGTAGCATAGCCTTCTCTAGGGTCAGACTCGTGTCTGTATGTCTGATTAAATGTTTGACCCTACAGTCATTGTTGGATAGTCTACAGCACGGGAGGGGCACAAACAACTCTAAGGCAGCATGCAGGCTATTCGTGCATGAATAACAGCAGAATTTAACTATTAAAAAGGACACTTGGAGGACATCAAAAAAGGAAAGCAAAAGCAGTTTATATTTGTATATATGAACATTCATGCCCAAGACACTGAAAGGCTGAAGCTTTAGCTCCCTGACCTCAAAGGAAAGACCGCTCGTTAGCCAGCAGACTGCCAACATGCCCCGAGGGTGCTCACCTGTCTTCTCTACTCTGGGACCCTGCTGTGGCTCATATACGCAGCTCTGTGAGATGCCTAGGTTTGGGGGCCAAATTGGAATAGATAAGATTCTTTGTCCCCGTGAAGACTGTTCCTGGCCAGATACCTGCACAGAATTCCAACAGCCATCTTAAGTGAATGGACGTTAACTATGTGTTAAAGTTTTTATGTTTTAGGGAAAAGGTGATCAGAAATGGTAAGCAAACCCTTTGTTTCATATACATGATTACTTCTCATTACAAACTCCTGTCCAAACACAGTTCAGAAAGCACTTACACGGAACTGTAGGTTCTTTCCATGCATGCTTTCCTCATCTGAACATCTAAACATCTATAGCTTCCTTGTCTTACTCTTTCTTCTGCCTGTAACATTGTTTCCACTGTGTCCAATGGTAAATGGTTAAACCAAATTTAAAACTACCCCTGACAATTCTGTTGGTGGAGGACGGACTTTGTTAAATACACTAAAAACCAATTTCAAAGCCTAATAAAAACAACTCTAAGCTGAAGAATGAATGCATTTAAGCATTTCCCAAGGAAAGACATTATGATGTAAGGAAGGCTTGCATAATGAATTTTACATCACTGTCCAGCCCATGTCCAGCATTCAGAATCCTCCCAGCCCTTGTGAAGGGGACTTATCCTTGCCATCAGCACCTTTCTATCTGTTAATTCCTTCACACAGAAAGCTTTTGTAAGTGGAAAAGATGAAACCAAACCAAGTGAATAAGTCCACTTGCTTGTGACTGCAGGGAACCATCCTGTCAACACAGTGAGGTGCCAGCTTGCCCTGTGTTCTCACCAGCCATGCAATAAGCATGCTCACTCTGATGATGGCCACCCCTCATCCTGATGGACAGAGCAGCCCACCTCCTAACAGAAGAAGCAAGTACTTACCTTTCCAATGGCAAGTCCTTCATAATTCAGTTTTCCTTCCTTTATGAAACTATAGAGTGGAGAACCAGGAACAGAATTAAAGTCACCACACATGATGATGGGACAGAAGCTGCCATCTTTCTGATGGGCCACACTGGAAATCTCTGCCAGCAGCATTGCCAGCTGGGTCAGCTTAATATCACCTCGCCGTGGGTTGTACAGCAGATGTGTGTTAGCTATACAGATGGAGGGAGGGGCAGCACGAGCGATTTTGGGCTGCAGGAGTAAAACTAATCCAATGTTGTCTCTGTCCAACAGAGGAATATCACGGCGGCAGAACTCCACTGGGTTCACAGATAAGAGTGAAAATTTGGAGTGTTTGAAGCAGATGGCACAGCCATCAGGTTTACTTCCTGTCTTCATCTTATATTCACAGTGATAACCTGGAAGGAATGAATTTTAAAAAGAGACTATGTCAAAACACATTCCTCTTAATATTCTAAAGCAATGTTTGACAAAGCACATTCTAAGACAGGATGCTAGCATGTGTTAAAACCAAAGTTTAGGCAAAGAGCTGGGCCTAGAAGTGTTTCAGTGTCAGCACTGAAGAAAATAAATTCTGTAATATCTCTTTCTCTCCTTCGATGGTGATAACGGTGCTAGGGATCAAACCTATGGCCTCACACATGCTAGGCGTGCACGCTGCCATGGACCTGCATTCCCAGCCCATGGATATTCTGGGGCAGGACTTATGGTTCTCAGACTATGCTTGGACTTATTCAAAGCTCCAAGCGGCTCTGAACTCCTGATGATAATGCTTCAGCACCCCAGTGCTGGGGTTACAGTAAGGCTCACCACGCCACACACCTTATAGTGTCATCAGGAAGCAGTCTCACATGCGTGTAGTGCAAGCATTTGAAAGGGGCAGGAGCTTGAACAAACCTGGATAACACAGCAAGACTTTGTCTCAGAAACAGTATGCCTAGCAGGTTTCTTTACTGGCAGACTGAACCTTCCAACTCGGTCATGACAAGGACAGCAAGGCCACACACTTATTTAGTCTGGTCTTTTTGTCCTCCCTCCCCACCACAGTCTCTGTGGACCATACTGCCTGAATCCATGTCAGCATCAGAGCCTTCCCTCGCTAGCTCTGCTGACTAGCATGCTCTAGGGATGGCTTGACCTTCACTTCCTCCCAGTCTTTGTTCAAACTTTACTTTGTCTAAGCATCTGGCTTAAAACCCAAATCTTCCCCATCTGCATTCCTTGCAGCTCCCTTATGCAAGAAAGGAGGCTGGCTGCTGAGACCAGTGTTGTTCTCGTTTCTAGAATGGTGTAAAGGCAGGCTAGGCAGCACTCAGAAAACACCTGTTAAATGAATCAGTATCACTCAGGAAGGCTTTTCATGTCTCCTGCCTGTAGAGAACGTGATTCTAGAAGCCATGAGAAAGCCTTCTGCTGAAGTAAGTGGCCTGGCCTCTTATCTGCAGCACAGGCCCACAGAGGGGTGGAGGCCGAGTGACTCCTGGAGACCTTTCCCTTTTAAGATCAGCATGAAATTTCCGGCAGAAATGCTGAAGTATTTGTTTGACATTTTGAAATAGTTATCACACTTTCAAAATTAGCAGTTATCCCAAAGGGGCTGGGGCTGGCTCAACAGTTAAGAGCACCGGCTGTTCTTGAGAGGCCCTGGCTTTAGTCCTAGCACCCACATGGTGGCTCACAACCTCCTGTAGCTAACTCCATGGGATCTCCATTTTATGGTCTCCACAGGCTTGAGGCTCACACATGGTTCACAGACATACATGCAGATAAAACACTTACACACATAAAATAATAAATAAAGAAAATTTAAGTTATTCCCAGGGCTGGGAGATGGCTCAATGATTTAGAGCACCCGTTGTGCTTCCAGAGAACCCAGGTTCGGTTCCTAGCACCCATGTGGTGGCTTACAACCATCTTTAACTCCAGTTCCAGGAGACCTGACACTTCTTTCAGACCCCCATGGGTATCATGAATGCAGGCAACACTTATATACATAAAAATAAATAATCTTAACAAGTTTTTTTTTTTTAAGTAAGTTACTCCCAAATATGTCATACAGTTTTTCTTTAAAAACTTTTATTTCAATAACTAATAACTCTGCAAGAATGAACCTGGCTAATGTAAATAAAGGTTACATTGTACCTAGTGATTCCAGACTTGGCCTGATCTCTGTTCCATAATGATCTTCTTGAACTTCCTGTAGACAAAGCACCTAGAAGAAAACAGTGGCTTGCATTAAAACACAGATGCAAATATGAATTCTATTTAATTCTGATAGAGTAGAAATCAATCTTATTTTTAGAATTAATGCTCTTTTTTTGTTTTGATTTTTCAAGACAGTGTTTCTCTGTGCATCCCTGGCTGTCCTGGAACTGCTGGCTTTGAACTCAGAGATAAACCTGCCCCTGACTCAAGTGCTAGGATTAAAGTCACTTGCCATCACTGCCCTGCTTTCTTTCTTTCTTCCTTCTTTTCTTTCTTTCTTTCTTTCTTTCTTTCTTTCTTTCTTTCTTTCTTTCTTTTTCTTTCTTTCTTTCCCTTTTATTTTTTTGGGAAAAAAAAGTTATTGTTCTTAAGTATTCTCTATCACAAGAAGTATGTTTCCAAAGATCTTATGATCACCCCAACACTATGGCCTGCGCTCATGTGGGACAGCAATCTTATCACTCAAATGCTCTAGTTCTTGAAAGAACTTTCTGTGCTTTTTATGTGAGACTACCTGTCCTGAATTCCCATGTTCATCATTTTTAAGCTTGGGTTTTTTGTTTGTTTTGTTTTGTTTTCTTAGTATCACTATATAACTCAGAACAGCCTTGACCTCAGAGTGGTCCTTCTGCCTCAGCCAAGTGCTGATTATAGACACTTGTCATCATGGCTCAGGTCCTTTCTTTTCTTTAAAAAGATTTTTTTTTTTGAGATTTTATTTTATGCATAAATGCTTTTGCTTCAATTTCTGTGCAATATGTCCCTGCAGTGCCCATAAAGGCCAGAATAGGATGTCAGATCCCTTGGAAGTAGAGTTACAGATGGTTGTGAGCTGCCATGTGGGTGTTGGGAATTGAACTCAAGTACTCTGGAAGAACAGTCTGTGCTCTTAACCTTTTCTCCAGCCCTGTGAATTCTTTCCTATGAGGCTGGTTTAATCCCAGCATCCCCAACTCCCCTCCTCAAAAACAAACAAACAAACAAACAAACAAACAAACAACCCTGTTTCTTTAGGTGGGCATGGTGGCACATGCCTGCTCTCTCAGCACTTGATAGGTAGAGACAAGAAAACCAGGAGTCTAAGATCATCGTGGGCAACACACTAAATATGAGGCCAGTGTGAGCTATCAGAGATCCTGTCTCAAAACAAACAAAACAACTAGCATCCTTTAAATGTTCTCATTTTATCATCTAGATCAAGTTTTACATAAATTACTGAAATCTCAAGTTCAGCATTTTTATTTAAAATGCTTCCAGTCTGAGTCTCAAAGTTGACCAATATTTTAACACTTTCAGCAAAGTTGGGTGATTATTTCTATCACTGACCAACAGGAAGGAAGCCATACCCAGCCAACAATGGCTCCGTACACAAAAGCACGTGGCAAAGCATTGCTCTCAAACACACAGTCATTCAATCATACTTTCCTCGAATGAAAAGTTCTAATACTGCTTTACACACTTACATCTGCATCGAAATGTTTGATTTCTTTGAGAATATTGGGAAACCGAAAACTCCAGTGTAACACTGGACGCTGGCAATGTCTGTAGAGGTGCGAGTTGTCCTCCAATAAATCTTGGGAGAGTATATTGTAAGACATCACTGAAAAGTCAAACTTCTCTTCACTGTCCTCACACATGGAGTGAACAGTTTTGTCTTCTAGGTCCTTCGTTTTTTCTTTATTATGGCCATATAAATACTCCCAATTCCTTTTTATAGTTCCTGTTAAAATATATTGGACAAAATATAAGAATCATAGAAGAGCAGATAATTTCCTGTGTACAAGTACTTTCTCACTTACAGAAAACGCCCACAGCTGCTGGGTACATGTTCTTCTTCGGAAACAGCAGCAGAACACTGACAGTCACAGCTGTCTTCGTGGGCTGCCAAGGCAGCCAGCCCAGGTGCTGACTGACGGCTACCAAATCTCTCTGAAGGCTGGAAACCCAAGACTGTGTGTGGCTGCATTTTCCCATTTGTCTTTGGTTAAGACTTCATCAGCCATCTTAGCACATTCTTTAATGCAAGGGGAGCCTCAGCTGGAGCTGGCTTTCCAGAGAGGATTCCCAGCACATTTTATCCCCAGTTACTTCAGATCATTGCTTCAGAGTTCTGGTTTACACACGCATGGAGGGTGGCATAGAATGACAACAGGCGGGAACAGGGCTCAGGGTGTAGAAGCTGAACGTGGGGAAGTGCAGACAGAGCGAACAAGGTGAATCATTAGAAATTACAGATTATAAAATGAGCCTTGTGAGATAGGCTTATCAAAACAAACGTCGACATGACACTACAGAGTGCTCTAGACAAACAGCAACCGCTGGGTGATGGACCTGCACACAGCCACCGGGAACACACCGCACATCATGCTACCCACAGACACACCAGTCTTCGAAAAAGCAGTGAAAATGGATAGAAAAATAGGAGATTCTGTAATTAAAGATGCTCCTCCACTGAGAAATTATCAGCTCCCAAGGTGCATGTACGCACATATATGTGTGTGTATATACACATGAGAATACATACATACTCATAGTCAGACCTGGTGGACATGCCTATAGTCCCAGCACTTGGGAAACTGAAGTAGAAGGCTGAAGTTCAGGATTAGCCTGGCCTACCTGTAGTGAAATTAAACAAACACCCCCAAAACAAGGGCTGGTAATAACAACCTTAGTGATCAAGCACTTATCTGGCAAGTTGGTTCAATGCTTAGCGCCAGAAAAAAAATAGCAAGTGCATGGTTCACCTTTGATCTTGTATCTTATTATGTCACATTTGTGAGGATATGCTTAATGTCATGGAAGCCATGAGAAGAGAAGGAACATTTAGTTAACCTACAAACTCAACAAAGAAGAGAGGACCTAGCAGAAGAGAACAGATGTGGAGATGGGGAGCCAAGTGTACTGAGGTCTAGGCAGCCTTCGGTCTCAGACTGTCTTCCTCTCTCCTCATCAGGTTTTCATTGCACCATGTTACAATGCCTGAAATTCTAATTAAAGTTGCCTGGACATGAGGCTTATCTCTGCAATCCCAGAACTCAGGAGGGTGAGGCAGGAGGATTGCCAAGAGTTTGAGCCCAGCCTGGGCTACAAGGTGAGTCCCTGTCTCCAAAAACAAAACAAAACAAAACAAAACAAAACAAAGTGAAAAGGAAATAGACTGAAATAATACAGTTGTATGCAGAGTGCAAAGGGAGCACGCCCCGGCTTGGAGTTCTCCACAGTCAAAGCACAGCTGCAGCAGCCTGGGTGGTGGTGAGACAGCTCTCCCAGATTACCTCCCTCAGGGTCTAAGCACCTTCCTGCTACAGGGAAGGACTAGACATGCTGACCTGACAGAAGAGAGTTGGATTAGTGAGGGCCGGAGCAGGCAAAGGAGCCAATGGTGTGAAGGTGCTAAGGGAAGGGCGAGACTGAATCCTGTCCCGAGCAGCCCCTCCCCAGGTGAGCAGAATGAGTTAGGCTTTCCCTATCCTGCACTGAAACTGAGACCTCCATCTCACAGGTTTACAGAGCTGCACAGAGCGGTACTGACAGCCACTGAACCCCATTCACCAACTCAGGCTGTCCCATGATGGTTTAGTCACACGCTGAAGTCTTCCTATGAACAAGATGGAAGGGCTCCATCATGCAATGTGTGGACTTTCACCCACACTACAGTACCGCCCTCTGCCACTGACACAGTGAACTATAAAAGTGGAGGTCTAGAACACTCATTGCAGCTCCTAGATATGTACATAGAGCGGCATGTAATCACCACGATTGTATGTTCTGGAAACAACTCTGGAACTGTACTTCTTAAATAACCAGGACCAGAGGATTACCTGATTAATATGGTGGCTTTCAAACTTGTACAGCTGTGGAGCCCTTTGGGGTTGCTTTTCATAAGGACACTAAATCTCTGCTGAGGGGAAAACACACAGCCCATCTGACCACATCTGTTTTTACTGGCCAGGTACAAGTGTGCTCACGTGCTGGGTTCCATGGAGGACAATCTCAAACCACAGACACAGCCAACAGTCTCTGCCATCACACACTTTACAACAGAAATTCACACTGCAAAATCTTATATACCTTCCATGTCAGGAGGAACAAGGTGATCACAGCAGAGAAGAGAGATGAATCAAAGAAAGTAAGCAATAGGCCTGAGCAGGTTTTGGGGTGCCTAATTAAAAAGTCATAATTGTGCCACAAAATTCCTTCAAATACCACTTTAAAGTGATAGGCAAATTAGTAATGCTGTTCTCTTGACTGAAAAGTATTAGTGAAATATCGGAAGTCACATATATGGCTTAACGGAGAGCCTTTTCCTTATTCTCAACACCTAGGAAGAATGGACAGATAAAGTCAGGTAGCAATCAGATTATCAGGATGTAACTGCAATTCCCCAGAACACACCACCACCACAGTTTATAGCCACCATGAAGCCAATAGTATGTTAACATGTAGACAAATCTTTTTTGTTTTTTTTAAAGATTTATTTATTTATTTATTTATTATGTATACAGCATTCTGCTTGCATGTGTGCCATCAGGCCAGAAGAGGGCACCAGATCTCATTGTGGATGGTTATGAGCCATAATGTGGTTGCTGGGAATTGAACCCAGGACCTTTGGAAGAACAGTTAGTGCTCTTCACCTCTGAGCCATCTCTCCAGCCCTCTTGTTTTGTTTTATCTTTAACAGACATTCAAAGTAGGTGGTTTTTGTTTTTGTTCTTTTTAATAATTTACTTTTATTTTATGAGCATTGGTGCTTTGCCTGCATGTATATCTGTGGGTATCACATCTTGGAGTTACAGACAATTGTGAGCTGCCATGTGGTTGCTGGGAATTGAACCCAGGTCATCTGGAAGAGCGGTCAGTGCTCCTAGCCTCTGAGCCATCTCTCCAACACCCCCAAAGTAGGTGTTTTTATTACACTAGGAAACCAAGAACAGAGTTTAAGTGATGTCTCCAAGTTCCTGCCACAGTGGCAGAGCACATGTGAGGGCAAGGAGTGCTTCCTAAAGTTTACCATGCTTATGCTGCACGTCAAAACTCCACCTGAGAGAGCACGAAGTACCGAATGGCTGCCTGATGAACAGCAAACACAGAAGTGAAAACAGCTGGGTCCTCTGAAGCCCTGACTTCAGTGTCTCATAGGAATACTCACCTCTGTAAGCTACTGTTCCATATTATGCGACAGGTTTTTATGGCCAAGGACTTGGTTTCCACTTACTTGTGTTTGTTTATTCAAACTAGCACTTTGTAACTGTAGCAATAATTTCTGCCTTGGTACCCAGGTGAATCTTCCAGAGGACGTCTGGCAACAGTGACCAGGAGCCTGAGCACTAAGGATACAGAAGCTCAGAGCACCAGGAGCCTGAGCACTAAGGATGCTGGAGCCGACACAAGCTCTCCCACTTCTGCTCCTGCGCATCAACCCCCACGCAGTTCCCTCTCCAGCACCCTCGTGAACACTGAGTCAGGAAGAAAGGCGGTCCCGAATTCTTACCTACCTCATCATACTCTGGGATTACAGTGGGGTGGGAGTACATGGGTTGTCTACAAGTAAAAACAGCACGAGAAAGTTGACGGAATCAACATATTTTGTAAGAGTTCCACAGAGTTGACTAAGATACGGCTCCCTTTCTAAAAGGTAATAATTGTGACTCTCAAGGAGTCACACCAAGACCAAGTGTGCCGCTCCCTGGCAGAACAAGCACGAGGTGCTGGACTCAATCCCTCGCACTGAAAAAATATACATGTAAGATATTCAGACTCTAATTTGGGAAATACAGATTTAACAAGCTAAAATCTCATCCTGTAACATTTTATTTATAATTGTCCCTAATAAAATAATCTTTTTAAATTATATTTCTAAAGTTACTATTAAAATGAAAATACAAATTAAATTAAAAAAATTTTTTTAGATTGGAGACCTCCACTGCCAATCTCTATGCCTCTGTTCAAAGAACACCGCCACGACACTATTCTTAAAACTGTTATCTACTTCCGTTCTCTACAGCCTTAACCAAGCATTTCTACTTTCATAGTCTTCTATGGTCTGCTTACGTACTCACATAAACTATATAATCTTATACACACTTATGTAGTCTGAGATGTCTACTTACGTAAGTACTATATAGACGATATAGGTCTGCTATCCAGGCTACTTACGTACTCACATAAACTATATAATCTTATACACACTTATGTAGTTCTCTACTCTAATAGAAAGAGACATGATTAGTTGAAAATGAAGCCACCATCCCTCACACAGAGCAGCCATTGGCTAAGAGTAAGCACTAACATTTCTAAAACACGGAGGATGGCTTTAGGATTAGAAAGGACGGCTTCAACTTGGCCTATCATGTGTGTCTATTCCTTTATCAAGACAAACATCTCCTTTACCTTGGTGTTTTTTTCTTTTAGATGAGGGCTCATCTCTGTCAGAATTCATGACGTGACTAGAGAGATGGATGAAGGCTGTGTTGCTCAGATGGTCAGATCTCCAATTATAGTACTGAAAGGGAGTTCCAGAGTCAAACAGAAGGGGTGCTCTACAGTTCAGTGAGAACTGCCTGCTACTGAAGTATGGGTAAGGTGCACGTGAGTAATGTCCTGGCCACCTCAGACAACTGGAAATGTGTCTGTTCCAGCAATACCTCTGCAGTTCCGCCCGTGGTGTGGTCCAGTCTTGCCCCAAACTCTTCAGAGGATAGGGAAACATGGAGTACCTAGAAGAAATAAAGACACTCCCTGAGGTATCACTTTTTGTTCAGCTGTAGTTCACAAAATCCAAATCTATTTCTCTAGGTAAGATGTCATCTCGTATTTAGATTTACTTCTATATGTGAAGAAAAAAGGGAAAGCCCCCCACATTTAACTATCAGCATCAATACCTCAATGTTCTCCCCCTAAACAGCTATGGTCGATATTCAAGAAAAGACCAGTTCGGCTCCCAAGACACCATATACCCCCCAAAAAAGTCAGTCCACAATGCAACTGAGAGGTTAACAAACAACAAACTAGAACTTGGGATAGATTTCTGGCTCCAAAAACTCAACAGAAAACTAAAACCCACAGCAAACGTAACAGTTAAATATGACACACATATTAGAATGTAAGAAAAAGTGTGTCTCCTTCCAACTTGAGTTTAGAGTAAAAACATATTTTGAAATAATATTTTTATATGAAAGTTAAATTCTTCCCAAACACTGGTAAAGGTAAAAACAAAAATCTGTCAAAGGGTTTTATCTGACAGAGCTACTTCCCTTACTAACCAATGGGTGGGCAACATGCCTTCCCATTTCCTCATTCTTACGAATACGGCTCCTGGGGAAATTAAAGAGTGTACGGATATTCACAGGACTCCATATATACTGCAACTACTGACACTACTGAATCACTGCAGCAGCTTCGCCAAGATTATTGTTCCGTGTGCTTGCAAGGGCACTCGCTGAGCACCAGAGGCTTCCGGTGGGTGTCCTGTTGTTCCCAAGCTTCTCTTTTGAGACAAGAGCTCTCCCTGAACTTGGGAGCTCCAACAACTGAATTGTTTAGACTAGCAGGTCAGCTCTGGGGATACTCCTGTTCCTGCCTCCCAAACACTGCGGTTATAAACGATGCACCATTTCCACCTTTAAGATGGGTGCTGGAGATTCCAACTGGGGTCCTTGTGCTTGAACAGAAGCCTTAACCAAGTGAGGGCAGAGGGTGTCAACTCAGAACATGGCTGCTTGGCAAGAGATCACATCCAAGGACCTTCTAGGTCTGTGTGATCCGGCTGGAGACACAGGCAAGTATATCTCAGTTCAAGGCCATCTTGGCAAAGAGCAAGTTTCAGGTAAAGAAAGCTAAGGTCCAGGTGTGATGGTACTCACCTTTAACCCCAGACAATGAAGGTAAATTTAGTTAGTAGACGCACCCATGTTTGAAAGTGATGTCTAATTGAGTGGTAGAAAAACTGATGAATCAGAGAAAGATTTGCAAGAATAGGATATGCCCAACTTTCATGAGAAGCGACAGGAAAGGAAAGCTACTTAAGTGGTAATGCGGAGAGAGAGAGATGAGAGAGACAGCAGGTTTAGAGGACAGTAATAGAGAGACAGGCAGCAGAGAGAGAACAAGCTAGACTCAGAAGCTAGACTCAGGTGAAGATCCAGAGAATGAGAAGGAACCAGGAGATTAGAACAGGTTGCTGGAGTTACTTTGAGGTAAAAAAGATCAATTCAGAGGCTGGGAGAGGAGTTTGAACCAGAACAGCTGAGTTGAACCAGCCTGCCCAGAGCTCAGTAAGAACAACAAAGGGTGAGCTTTTTAATCAGTAAGTCTCAGAGGCTGAAAACATTCTAGGCCAAGGCTAGATTGTACAGAGGCTAGAAGCTTCCAGGACTAGGCCCAGGTTGGCAGGAGGCAGTAAGGCTAGGAGACAGCAATTACCTCAAGAAAATAAAAGTTCCTTTTATAACTGAGCCACCTTCCCAGTTCTTAAGCTTATATTTAAGAGCCACGCTGCTCTCAAGTTCTCAAGAAGCACTGAGTTCTCACTGCATTATCTGCAAAATGTTAGGGTTCCGAGGAGTCCATGTCCTGTGGTGTCAACAGCAACTGTCACCAATGCGAGTATGCTTAAGTGGCATTTCCTCATTACATGCTATCTTTCATTTGAAAAGATTTAGCTCTTATTATATATTTGAAATTTAGTCTCAAACTGCTCTCTAAACCAACTGATTGCAAAGCGTAAGGGAACAACATGGGCACTAGATCTTGCAATTGACTCTGAAAGTCATCCAAAGGGATTTCAGCGCTTGGATCTTTTTTTTTCACCTTTAATCCCAGCACCCAGAAGCCAGAGGCAGGCAGATTTCTTGAGTTGAAGGCCAGCCTGGTCTACAGAATGAGTTCCCGGACAGCCAGGGCTACACAGAGAAACCTTGCCCTAAGCAAAACCAAAACCAAACAATAAATGTTTTGAGCCCGAGAACTACACAATATGGGCTGGTCGTGGACTCCCCTGTGTTAGAGTTGCATATTTTCTGTCTTGATATTGTTTCTGTACTGCAACCTGCAGTGTGACATTAATTCTTTGGGGTGGCAGCTATGTATACCACTATCTTTTCCTGGTAAGACAGTGAGCTTTTGAGGGCTACAACCTCTGTATGCGCTGGAAGCCCAGTCTCATCAGGGCCACGCACGATGCCAGGCACACAGCTGGTACTCAGAAAACACTGTTGGACTGAAATACCATAGGAACCAGGCATGGAGTTAGCAGATCCGAACGGCTTATGTAATGATACTGTGTTATTTCCCACGCGTGGTACACCGACGGTTTCAAATCTTAAAATTTATTAGAGAAAAACAATCAGTACATCAAACCTAAGATTCGGTGGATACTCTTTGGACAGCATGTACTGTGGCGCTTTAAAATTTCAAGGGAGTTATTTTTTATTTTTGGAGGCGGAGTCTCGCTGTGTAAGCCACGCCAGCCTCAAATTCGTGGCTATCCTCCTGCCTCAGCCTCCTGCGTGCGGAGATGACAGGCGTGAGGCATCACCCCGGGCTCCCAGTGAATGAATGTTAGGAAAGCCCTCCAGGACAGAGCGAAGACGTGGGTGGCGGTGAAGTTGGCCTCCGCGTGACCCAAGTCTGCGCGCCGAGGACGCGGGCCCAGCCACCCCGGGGCGCGCAGCCTCCCTCCAGGCCGGGCCGCGCGGGCGGCGGCGAGCGTGGAGGCCGCGCGAGGCCAGCCGGCCCCGGAGGCCGCCGCCCGA